AGGAAATCTCACTGTTAGACATAAGAGCTGTGGTTTCCACTTTTGGGGACATAAGAGCCTCCTCCCTTCCCTTCAAAACCTGGGTCAATCCCCTCTGTGTTTCTTCTAAGAAAAATTTAGGTAATTTAGGGACATGCACCCAAGGGCTGATTGGAAGGAAGGGAACAGGTGTGAAGCAGCTGAGTCTGTGGAAGTGGAGCTGGAGGATTTGCGTCAATAGGTACAGCATTTGGAGATTTCCAAGGCTGCTTCTTAAGGTTCTGAGGAGCAGGCTCCTATTTCTACTGCTCTAAAAAAATAAAAAATTTTTCTTTTAACAAAGTCTTTCATTACTGGGACAAATGGGAAGGATACTGCTTCTCAAATAATTAGATTGTCAGTAGGAGGCTCTACCCTGGTCTTTAACCACTTACCAGTCCAATTATTTAAATACAGAATGACCAAATATTGTCTATTTTTTGTTAACTTTTGTAACAGCAAATATAAAAATGACAATTTTATCCTATTTATTCGATACAAGATGGATTTATTGAAATGACATCTGCCTGAGCAACCTATCACGACAGTACTTAAACAGATCACTGCCTGACTAACACTTGAGGTAAACTGTTAAGTGGGTAAATAGTCAAGTGGGCACAGGCTAGAGAAAGGTCTAAAGGAAAAAGGGAACAGGGAGGCACTAGTGCCACTCCCTTTGCCAGATATATCTGCTACTGAAATTCGAGTTTCTAGGGCTCAGTGAGTCTTTATCCTTCTGTGGGGACACCTAGTCTTCTCTCTCCATAGGCCCCATGAGTATGATAGAAAACAGTGTCAATCCCACAGACTATTAGCCCCAGCACAAACTAGGTAATGGCAAGAAATGAGTACAGAATAGTGGTCTAAATTACAACTCTATTCTTTGGTTAGATCTTTCCTACAAAGGGCAAGGAAAATGATAGGAAATCCCTTATGTTCAGGCTTTTATGGCTCTTTATCAAAAACCATCCCTTTGCAAAGGCCCAAGAGATATGATACTTCATGAGGTGCCCCCAATAGAGACTGATATCATAGATGATCCCCTCAAAAGACACCCGTGTCTCTCTTGCATGTTTAATAAAAGAAAACACACTGGAAGTCTTCTCCTCCTTATAATCCCTAAGCCAGTGACTCAGTTGTATGCACCTTCTCCAAATGACTCATAAACTTCATCAGCGGCCAGCTCTGCAGAGACCTAGCACACCCTACCACCTCAGACAGCTTGAAGCCCTAAATGACATACTACAGAGGAGTTTCTTACTCTTCCAACTCACAGCTCATCCTTCCCCCAAGAGAGGTCCCAGGAGTAGAGGGCACTATTTGAGTCCAAGTTCCTGTTCAAAGGCAAATATCCAAAGATGCAAAAAGTGTTTAGGCTGATTTTCAGAAGATCCTAGTAGGTTTGTAGATGAATTTCAAACTCTGACCCTGCTTTTAACCTCATGGAGAGATGTCGATTTGTCTTGGCTACTTACTGTATGTATGCCAGATGAAAAACAAAGAATCTTAGAAGAGGACAGAGGATTGGCAGATGAAAAATATACTTTAAGAAGAGAGCAGAATCATGTTGGCTAAGTTACTGGGCCTCAAACAGAACCAAATTGGGACTATAACACTGTGGATGGACTAGATATGAGGTCTAAAATCATGACGGGAATAAGAAGTTGCATTTGGAAACTTGTTAATTATTTTAAAAGGTAAGAAAGGTTACATAGGGCAAAGAGAAAAATCCAGCTTTCATTGCTAATGAAAATATTTCATACATATGCAAAATTGGATCCCTCTTCCAATGAGAGACAGGCACTAATTGGGACAGCATTTCATTAGCCAGTCAGCCCCAGATATTCAGTGCAAATTACAAAAACTTCAGTTGGGTCCCCAATCCCTTTGACCCAACTGCTGGACACAACTTTTTCTATGTTCAACACTAGGCATCAGGAAGAGAGGAAAATGGAGAGGCACTGAGAACAAAGGCAGGCAAAAATTATGGCAGTGCTTTGAGCACACCCAAGTGGTCCAAAAGGAAACCCAGGGCCAATCAAGGAAAGAGTTTCTGTTTTACATGCAAGGAAACTGGGCACTGGGCGCAAAGCTCTACTAGGCCACTGCCTGGGCCCTGATCCACGTGTCAGGTGGCTGATGTGACTGACGCGTGGCACTGGAGTGACTGTTCCAGCTTCCAGGAAGGGGCTAGGTCAGCCAAAACCTTCATATCTTCACTCTGATGAAGAGGAATGAAGAAGCCTGGGGCACAGTGTAATGGCCCTGACACAGATACTTCCATCTCCTGCAAGCAGACCTTGGGGACGCTTGACATCACTGTAAGTATATTCAATCCTTTTGGACACAAGGGTGCTTTATTCACTTTTAACTTCCTTCTCTGGAACATGGTCCTCTAGATCTATAGACATAGCTGGGGTTGAGGGAAGCCCTAGTCATAGCTTCTTTACTCTTGCTTTGGCATGTCCATTTGAATGTCAAAGGTTCAACCCTGAGTTTTTAATTATCCCATGGTGTCCTACTCCCTTACTAAGAAGAGATTTATTGTAAACTTAGCGGCAGTTCTCTAATTCCAGAAAAGGATTTAAAGTAAAATACCACCTCCATTCTGCACGGAGACCTCAGTCCTCTGGAAAAGTTAAAAGAGCCAGCCAGACCCTAAAACAAACTTACCTTCCTAAAATCATTGGTTCCTTCTTATCTTGGGATCACGCATGGTCATTCTGCTCCTTCTCATATTTGGCCTTTGCCTCCTCAACCTAATAGTAAAGTTTATCCATTCAAGGCTTCAGATAATGACCCAGATTACAGCCCATTACCCTCCTGACAAATTCACTGAGCTTCGTCTCACTGAACAGACAGCTCAACAATTCCTGACAGACAAGCGCTAACACTTTTCTCATTATCTTCTGAAAGATTCTTTCCAGTCCAGCTAGTAAACCTCAATATCCCAAGGTAGCCATCAGGGATCACATTATCCTCAGAAGGTAGGGTCTACAGTCCCTGTCAGCAGGAAGCAGCTGTAAGAAAAAAGATACCTCTATTCCCTCAGAATCCCATAAAGAATTCTGGGGATTCTGTCTCTCGGGGGAAATGATGGAAGAGAGTAGGGCTGTGGCAAAACTAGTCAAACAACTGGGCAGAATTTGTTCAAAGTAATGGAGACCCAGGCAACATGTGCACAACACAAGATCTAGGATGCCTCTGCAGCTTCTGAGCACTGTACAGAGAACCAGTAAGAAAACTGCTGTTTTCAATTCTTCATTTACATCTGACAGGAAACCAAGTGAGTCTTTCAATAGGGCAGTTTAATTCTGGTGCCAGGCCAAGTGAGTTTTTGATAGGACAACTGTCCCAGTGCCTTATTTGCATGAGGGAGAAGCCAATCCAGGAATTTTAGATGCAAAAGGCCCCTTTCCCTTATCCTCAGGCTGCTGTGAGTCCATTCACTGGCCTGCTGTCACTCTGCATAGCCTACTTCCTTTTTACCATCAATAAATGTCCATCCCCACTATCTCTGCTGTGTGTACTGTCCAATTCTTTGTTCAGGACACCAAGAGCCTGAAAAGAATTCCACTGGAGCCCACTATCTGGCAAAACTAGACATAAAGACAGTGCATAAAAATTGTTCATATGAAAACCTTTTGATGACCCAAATTTATTTTAACTTAAATCACAGAGACAGTTCCCACTCATCTACTCTGCCTTTTCTTTGTGGCTTGCTCTTTAAATTGTTTGACATAAGTACACTGTTAAATTATTATGCTTATTTGGTATCTTCACATATTTCAAATGACTTCCATACTATTTCTGGTCTCTTTAACAACAAAAAATTTTCCATCACCTTGGTCCACTGGTTATTAGCATTTTACTTGAGTCTCAGAGGGCATATAAGAGAAATAGAAGACTGAGTCCTGTCTTCAATAATATAAATCCAAAGGATAAGAACTAATTTCAGTGATATATAGAAGTGTTAAGAGGTAACTGGGGAATTCAGTGAGTTGGAGTTGAATAAGTTTAGTCTGTGCTATTTTGAACATGGTATTAAGACTATCTTATGGGAAAAATAGAATGATAAAATAAATGAACAATCTGTGTGTTTCACTTCTAACGTGGCCCCATGGGTTATGTTTCAGTCATGGAATGAAAATATGACCAAGAGTGAGACACTCTTTTTTAAATTACAGAGATGAGTTTATTAGTATTTATATTATTGTGTCTTGAAGGGATGGAACACATAGAATAGCAGTACAGTAATAACCAGTTTAACTCTGGTATAGCTACTTTCACTTAGGACATACCAAAAGTTCTCAATTTTTTTCATTTAAGCCAAAGAAAGGGCCTCCCAACTGTTAGACTGCACCCAGTTTACTGGAATAACTGGCACTAACTCTGAACACAAATACTACTGCATTTTATTGGTGCTGAGTGGAGATGGGGCCCTGGCCCACTCTTCCTACTTAGCTGTTGATTCAGATCTAGTGCTATTTTCTAATCTGATCTTTCACTGAACTGCCTGAATTACAACTCCGTAATGAATGCATTTTCAGAGCATTCTGTCAACAATTATTTCTGAATGGGGTAGGATAAGCAAAAGCAAAACCAACATGGCAGGAGTAATGGCAACTGGCCCGGAGGCCATTCAGACAAGAAAAAGATCAAGAATTCCTCTGTCCCCAGCAGCCCATGTTGCCTCTATTTCTCTAATGCATGCATTTTGTTTCTTTTATTCATCTCCACTGTAACCTGGACAATTCAACTTTATGCCCTGGAAAACATGAAAAAGATCAATGCTTTGGCTTGATGAAGGATAAAAACAGGCAGCTTCCTAGCTGGAATAATTTAAGAGGTGACAAAAGAATCTGCATCCCTAACCAGGACCTGGGTTTTAGACTCAAGAAGAAAATGACCTTTGCTCCAGAAATCAGACACAATTTAAGTGAGTATGTTGAAAAATAAAAGAGAAACACAACTTCCCTGGTTGAACAGTGGGGTGGCGGGAGTAGGAGGAGTCTTTGCATCTGGAGGAAGCAGTTAGAAAACCACTGACCTCACCAGCCTCCACTTTTTCAGAGAAGTGAACCAGTGGTCTGCAAACAGAGTGTCGGGGTCTGATAAAGCAAGAAGGAGAACTCTTCTATCTTGACCTTCAGAGTGATGCTCTTTCCAGACTTTTAATCAGCAGAGAATACGGGTCAGTGTGCATTATCAACAGGGGCATCTGAAGAGATAGAGAGATATACAAATTCTATAGAACGCAGCAGTACAATAATGGAATCTGGGGTAACCTGGCACTCTATTTAATAAGAAAATTCTAATCATTTCTTCTTTCCTTAGTGAGTTAATAATAAAAGTAATTTTTTAAAATGCAGCTTAGAAATTATAAAATAAAAAGTGAAACTACTCCCTCACTCCAATCCTAAACTCCTCTCTAGAGGTCACTGCTAACAATTCAGGTATTTTTCAATGAATATATGCCTGCACATATCCACAGATGTATCTAAAAGGGGGTTGCTGTTATTTATTGTAAAAAAAATGTAATGCAGATGTTCCCCAAAAGCCTCATACACTCATACACAGGACTTTTGGAAGGCGACTGGATTGTGAAGACTTACAGCTGACTTGCTGTTAGGAAGTGGGGTCTGGTGGGAAGACCACCAGATTCACCTGGGGTGTGGCCTGGGAGCATTATTTCTCTCCCTTCCCAACTTCTCCTTTCATTCTGTCTGCCTCTCTCTCTCTCTCTCTCTCTCTCTCTCTCTCTCTCTCTCTCTCTCT